ATAATAATATATATTATAGGTTTAAGGCAGTGTTGAATAGTAGTGTGTCGAATTTTATTTTTTATGCTTAGATATACTTGAATCCGGAAATAATAGTCAGTGATAAAATGTTGAGGATTTTGAAGAATGCTGACAGAGTTACCATAAACAATACCAAATATATCGGGTCATCAATACCTATATCCCACGTGACTAAATTGATGTCATCAGTTGGCTAAAATTAACATTAATAACCTCAGTAACAGCCCTACAACAATGTCATTGACGTATTTGATAGGAATGAGACTTAAGTTGCCATAAAAGTTTCATTAATCTACTTATACCAAATCGGGTGGGATACGGGCAATATTGAGGACTCTGTATAACAACTAAAAAAATTTGTATTGCCCCCGCAACATCCGAAATTTCAATCGAACTTTCGCGCAATGACAAATGACAGCGTTCTTCGCATTCTGACTGCCAATTATTTGCGGAATCCAAATATAATACTGTTTTTATTTTGTTTCTATATTTATTATGAATCAATATTTATGTCTTTGAATGCTAAAGACTGAAAATGTACATTTATTTAAATTAGTTTATACACAAATACAATTTTGTGCTGTAGGGATATCGCCTTTACACCTTTAAGTAGCACGAGACATCCTGTATAGAGTAATACGGAAAAGGAAATATGTTTTTTCGTTTACCGTATAAATTGTTAGACTCAACCTAGGTAAGTTACCAACAGAGACATCGAAGAACGGTTCACAACAATCAATAAATAAAAACTGTACAGCCAAAGAACGATAGGTACAAATGACACTTCATTTTGATTTTTATTAGCTAACGTATATTTTGTTAGACTACTTTTAGAAATTTTAGATATTTTGTTCCATGCTTTCCTATTAATAAGATCTTACCACTACTTTAAATACATGATAAGTATTCCTTCTTAAATTAAAAAAAAAATAATAGTCATTTACTAATCAATTAATTATTTAATCTACAAAAAATCATTATTTCTACCACAAAAAACTCTGCAGCGCCAGAGGATTGAAATATTCCTATCTGACCACCCAATTGTTATGAATGGCTTCTCGTATCCACTTTTCAAAATCAATAGAAGAATATCTCAAGGCTCAACTTTGGGATCAACAGTATTATTATTGCTTACCTTTAGCTACCTACTTCTAACCCTACTCATAGCTTTATAGATTATATGTGAGAGCACACTTTATGCAAGGCCCTAGGAGGGTGCCTTTCTAGATATAAAAGATATGTTCAATACCTCCTTTTGTTCCCTGTTCTTCGTCTATTGAAAGAAGAGGAATTAAAAAACTGACCTGCAAATTGATAAAACATATGCTTGGAAATCGCTAGATCATTTTATCATTGCAGAGAGGAAGAGAGAATAGATTAGGGTGATAGCAAGAGGAGTCCAAATGGGGTATATACAAAAAAAATCCTCTGTACCTTCAGAAGGATATGCAAGAAAGCATGGGGATCAGCCCCAAACTGATCTACTGGAGTTACCTCGGCTCGGTTATCTGGTGGGACAAGAGACTTCAGCAAAGCAAAGTTAAAGGGAGCTATGGACACTATCCTGCACACAACCCCTCTTCATATTTTGCTAGAAACAAAGGTCAGGATGGTCTCCTGTAGACTCCTGATGGTAGATAATCAATGGAAGGAATAATTTCAATGAAAAAAAAAAAAATGATATTGTTGAGTGAAATTAATAACCACCACATTCTCGGTAGTTCCTGGATAGCACATAAAAAAGTCAAATTGTCCTGATCCAGAGCTCCACAACTAAAGAAAGAGAAGAAGCGGTAAAAAACCAAAAGTTGGCATATCAATAAACCTGGGAACTTTGCCATGATTTTCCAAGAGCAAATTATCGCTGAGGAATTGAGACTAATCAATCTTCCTCTTGGTAAAGAGAATTAATATTGTTACGCAGCACCCTGCCGTAGCCTGCGGCTATTATAGGAAACGTACAGATAGAAAAAGAAGTGGAATGTTACTTATCACTCTAGAGTGTGCTGCGGTCGTCATAAGTAAAAGTACAAGTAAAAGAAGATAGAATAGTCCAGAAATGTCTGGAAATGTCACTACCCGTCAAGAATATTCTAGACGCAAGCTATATAAGGATGATCCTGACGTCAGCTTTCAGTTTTATGATAGACGTTACATGTTAATGTTATCAGTTGTGTAATTGTTGTTAAAGTTGAGTTGAAATAAATTGTGATACCAAAAACCTGTGTAACATTGGTGACAGCGGTGGGATATATAAAAGAAAAGTTACTCATTATATTCATGGTAAATACTAGATCTACAACGCACGAAACAGTCATGGATACTTTAGGTCCATCAGCATGGTTTTTGAGGATGGAAGAGGAGAGAAAAATACGAGAAGGGGAAAGGGAAAGGCGGGAGGAGGAAAAGGAAAGGCGTAGGAAGGAAGAAGAGAAGGAAAAGGACAGGCGAGAAGAAGAAAAGGAAAAACGCAGGAAGGAAAAAGAGGAGGAGAAAGAAAGACGCAAGAAAGAGGAAGAAAAAGAGAAGGAAGAGAGGCGTAGAAAAGAAGCGGTTTGCTACAAATCCAGGAAACCTTTAAGCAAGAGGTTAGTCAACTTAAAATTAGAGTATATCTGTTAGAGCAACAACAAGAGCATCTAAAAACTAATTTAGAACAACAACGAGAAATTTTAAAACAACAGGAAAAGGCTAGAGTAGAGTTCGAAAGGCAAATTAGAACTAAACTGGTTGAGCTTGAAAGAAGAATTCGTAGCCAAGCTTCGATAAGCAACAGAGAAACTGAAAACACTACTACCTCGTCTTCATCCATAACCGAACAAAGCCACATTCGAATCCCAGTTTCACAAAACTATACTAGCAAGACCCTTAAGCCACCCACGTTTAACTTTCAGACAACATGGGAAACATATCGATTCCAATTTGAAGCTGCAGCTAGAAACAATGGCTGGACCAAGAAAGAGATGGCGGCTTCATTGATAGTGTCATTGCGAGGTCAGGCAGCAACCGTTTTACAGTTACTTCCTCAAGAGGAACCCAGTTATTCATCTCTCGCCCAAGCTTTTAGGGACAAGATATGGCCAGCAGCATTTGCAACGGGTATTCTAAAGCCAGCTAAATGTTCGTAGTTAGAAACATAATGAGAGTGTACAGGAATTCGAGTCTGACATAAGAAGGTTGATTCATCTGGCCTATCCACAGGTGCCGAAAGATTTCCAAGAACAACTCGGAATACAAGCATGGTCTACAAGATATGGAAATGCAGCAAGTCCTTCGTCTACAACATCACAAGACGCTGAGGGAGAAACTGATTGCAGCCCAGGAATATGAAGCAATAAAACTCCTATCCAGATCTTCTCGCGCAAAAGTGACAGAAATTAAATCCCAGGATGCTATTTCCCAAATCTTAAATATCCTACGAAATATGCAACGAAGCAGCCAAAATGGAAGCAGGAGATGCTTCAATTGCGGAAGAATCGGGCATTTTCAAAGAACCTGTAGAAACATGGCTCATTCTATAAATCGAGAATTAGCGAATAAGACCGGAAAATCATATAGATCAATCTTTCCGAGCCCATCATTAAGACCAACAAGAATTAATTACAGCAGCTATGCGTCCCGAAGAAGCCAATCACCCACACCGAGCCTGCTTTCTAACAATAACCAGAAAGTAGAGCATCGAAGAGGTCTCCATAGCAACGCAGACATTCTCTTCTGGCAACCCCGTTTAGAGGAACAATGCTGGTATGGTAAAAGGCTCGAAAAACGAGAAGAACCGGTTGATAAAGCAACTCTTCGGGCAACCACTATCAAGCCAGAGGGCGAAGAAGAAGAAATCACCCTTGAAAGTCTGAGACAGACAGAAGAAAGACAATGACTTAAAGGTTGTCCGAGAATGGCTCAAAAATAAAGTCACACCTACTTGGCAAGAGATAGCCAAATACAGTAGAACTATAAAAGGCTACTGGACCCAGTGGGATTCCCTGTATCTTCACGATGGCCTATTGCACCGGAAGTGAGAGAGCCCCGATGGAGTACATGTAGTCCGCCAAGTGATACTGCCGAGGTCACAGGTGAGAAAAGTATTGGAGGAGCTTCATAGCAGCCGTTCAGAAGGACACTTTGATACTAAAAGGACACTGGCATGAGTTCGGGAAAGATTTTATTGGGTCAATTGCCGACGGGATGTAGCGGATTGGTGTAAAAATGTGATATATGCAATGGCAGGACAAAGGTCTATGAATTCGCTCGGATAGTTCACGTTAAAAAGTTAGCGCCATATCGTGGTCCAGATCCTCCCCGTTGGCTCCAATCAGGTCCCAGTAATCAAGTTATTCGGGGCGAATAACTAGAGAGGAGGGAGCAATGTTACGCAGCACCCTGCAGTATCCTGGGGCTATTATAGGAAATGTACAGATAGAAAAAGAAGTGGAATGTTACTCATCGTCATAAGTAAAAGTACAAGTAAAAGAAGATAGAATAGTCCAGAAATGTCTGGAAATGTCATTATCCGACAAGAATATTCTAGATGACAGTTCAAGAAGGTTCGAGAAGGGTCAAGCAAGCTATATAAGGATGATCCTGACGTCAGTTTTCAGTTTTATGATAGACGTTACATGTTAATGTTATCAGTTGTGTAATTTTTGTTAAAGTTGAGTTGAAATAAATTGTGATACTAAAAACCTGTGTAACAATATCTTTTCAGATTCACAGGAAGCCTTTAAAGCTTTGAACTCCAACCTAGTTGATTGAAAGCTAGTTTGAAGATGGAAATGATAATAATGAATGAAGTTATTTTAATCTAAAAATGAAGCAAACAAGTTTCGGTCATCCTGGCCATCACCAGATTATTGAAGTTATGTAGTTTTTGAGTTATTTCAAAACACTAAAAATTACATATGGCGGCTTAATTATTGTTAAAGTTTGTACCATTGGTTTGGAGGGAACCACGAAACGATTATGATGACTGCTATTTTTGTCTCGTTAATATTAAAGGCATGAATAGGAACAATAGACACAAATGGACACATACTGATCTTGATTATGCAACAACTGCACTCGACAGAAATACCCATTCCATCCTTCAGCAGTTTTCCTGAATTCCCGGAAGATGATACAGACACATCAAAGTCTGATGAAGTTCGAAGAATTAAATCAGAAAACGACAGTGAATTTAAAGCAGATTTAACAACTCATCAGCGTTTTAATCAACAAGAACTGAACGATCTTATAAGAGACCTAAACCTTTCACAGGAGTCTGCTGAATTCCATGCATTCAGATTAAAAGAAAAGAACTTTCTTTATCCAGGTACTAATATACTTTATCGTAGAAGAGATAAGGATCTGCTGCCTTCCATTATTCAGGAAAATAACCTGGCATTCTGTGACGATATAAAAGGATTCTTATAAAAAATGAGTTGGTCAGAATACACTCCAGACGATTGGCGCCTTTTTATTGATAGTTCTTTCACATAACGGTAACAAATATTTTTCAATTCCTATTGGTCACTCTACTACTATGAAAGAGAAATTTGAAACAATAGCACTATTTTTGAAAAAAAATTAAAGACTAAAAACATCAGTGGACAATTTGTGTTCCTCCTTGGACAGCAAAGTGGATATACAAAATACCCCTGTTTTCTATGTCTTTGGGACAGCAGAAAATTAAGCGCTGGGTTAACATAAATTGGCCTTTAAGAGATGTCATGGTTCAAGAAAAACAGAACGTAATCAACGAACCTTTGGTAACGAGTTAAAAAGCTTACTACTACTCTTATATGTCAAGTTGGGGCTTACAAACTTACAAAGCAATTTGTGAAAGCACTAAATCAAGATGAAAATTGTTTTGGGTACTTGTCAAGGGATTAGCATAGAAAAATTAAAAGCTAGTATATTTGATGTATATAATGTATATGTATGTATATAAGTATATAAGACTGCCCTAATAGACACCATGCTAGAAAGTCGTATAAAAGATCATTTTTAGGTGATAAGTGACTAATATCAGTATGAATGTATGTGAATCTACTTTTTGTAATAAATACTTAACTCTATGTATTTTTTATTTTTTAATGTTAAAAAAATAGTAAATATTGCCTATTTTAATAACTAAATCTGATGGCTATTTTGGATTCTGCATCCAAAACTTACCCAGGAACTGTTAAAAAATCGTAGGCACAAAAATGTCTGTTAGTTTGTGTTCTCTTAAAAGATGTACCACATGTCATTCAAAATTTTAAAAAATACCCTTAAATTAATAAAAAAGAAAATTATATTTTCTTTAATTTGCCAACATCGCATTTTTATAAAATTGTATGTGAAATTAATTTATTTTAATATTACAATATCTTACCCTACCATGTAAAAATGTATGAAATAAGTATGGCCTACCATTACATTGAAGGAACATCACTTAAGAAAAAATGAACGAACTATCGTGTATCACATATCATATACCAGTTTAGATGGTTGCGATTTTGCTAAATTAGGAAAAATATCAGTTTTTGCTTTTTTTTAAATTAATTTAAGAATATTTATTGAAAATTTGGATAGCATGTGGTACATCGTCTAAAAGGTAATTTAGAGAGAAATATTATTATGGAAAATCTTAGATGGCCGCCATAATAAATAGCAAAGTCAAATACCTTAGGTAAATCGAAAACAAAATACAATTTGTATTTTTTTACAAAAATATTCTTCATTAAAAGGTGTTTTTAAAAATGTGACACTTTAGAATATGTAAAATTATTGATTAAACCACCAAAATATGCAATTTTTATTTTTTGAAATAACTAAAAACTACATAAATTTTGATTTTGAAAATGGATCCGAGATCAGCATAATTAACTATGCTTCTATTCCCAATATGGAGTGTGCCAAGAGGCGGAAGTTTAAACAATTACGAAGAAACCTATGAGAAATAGGATCATTGACCGCAGTGAAAAAAAAAAAAGAAATGGGTACCAGACATTGAAGACGGTGGGATACAGAACATAGACCTCCGCAATGCCCCGCATATTGAAGAAGGTGTACGAGATGTTCGAGATATGGAAATTTTGAACAGGTTTGTCGCAAAGTAAGTACGTAAAAAAAGTAAAAAAAAAGATCGAAACCAAGGTGAGTACACCTCTATCAGTGGATAGAAAAGATAGACATTGAAAATCGAAAGATTTGCTTCAAAGTGGACACAGTCTGATCAAATGGTGTTCAAAAGTGCCTGTTTCGTAACATGAGTGCAGTAGACGGTTTTTCAACGGAATGATATGTTTTTTGGGGTGCTGAAGTTTACTGCCTCGTAGCAGTGCCGCTTTAGGTCGAAAAACGCAAAAAATTCTCAAAATTTCGGAGTTTTTCTGGTTTTCCGCTCATATAATGGAAACGATGCATCGTACGGAAAATGTCGTTTTATTCAAAGTTGAAGAGTATGAAATTCTGCGTCGAAAAACCTCCCTAACTTTTAAATTCGACCAATTTATAAGGTCGCCGTCATCAGTCGAAAAAAGCCAATTTTTCGCAACTTTTGTGAAAACTGCAAGAAACTCACTTTTAGATGTCTGTAATGTGAAAGCAGCCACTCTACGTGAAAAACTCATGGAACAAAATTTTGCGTTCAGTGAGCATCGAAATTTTAAATTTGGATCAGTATACACGCATATACTGATCATTTCTTCATTTTTCCTCTAAGCGTTTATTTGGAGTTTCGCAAACTTTTGTGTAAACTGCAATAAACTCACTTTTAGACGACTTTAATGGGGGTTGGTTACTACACAGAGTTGTATGGTCGAGTGGGCATATATTCGACAATACTTGCGATTCTTACATCAATTACGTGAAAAACAAATACAGTCCAACAGCAGTGACCATTTTTGATGGATACTCGGATGATCACAGAAGCACAAAATCCATGGATCGGTTGAGGAGATCAACCAAGAAACCCTCAGTGGAAATACAATTCAGCCACTCAGTGATACCGACGGTGTCTCGAGAAAAATTTCTGTGTAATGCCAAAAACAAAAGTCGCTTAATAACCATGCTAATGACAAAGTGTGAAGAAGATGGAATTGCCTGCAGACAAGCAAAGGAGTATGCGGATTCACTGATTGTTCGGACGGCCAAATCCTTGAACCCAACTCATCAAACTGTTGCGATTGTGGGGGAAGATGTAGATCTGCTGGTGATAATGATAGGTCTTAACACTTCTTCAAACGTCTATCTGCTGAAGCCAGGGAAAGGGAAAGCGCCTCCGTTGCTATACCAACCACAGTCTGCAGTGATATAAAATCTTGCCAAGCACATGATGTTTCTACACGCGATGAGTGGATGTGACTCGACGTCATCTTTATATAACCAAGGCAAGACTAAATTCTTGAAGACTCTCTCTAAATATCGAGACCTTGTAGAGATCGTTGAGAAATTCTTGGATCCGTGAGCCCAGCCAACGGCAATTGCTGCTGCTGGAGAAAAATTTTTGGTGGCCCTGTACGAGGCTAACCATCTAATAACTTCCTTGAATGCGCTGTGATACAAGCAGTACGTGACATCCTCCTTCGAATTTTCCTGCAACATTGCATCTATCCCTCCCACCGATGCTGCAGCCTACCAGAATAGCTTGCGTGTATATTTACAAGTGCAGCAGTGGCTCAGCAACAGTTTGAATTCGAAGCTGTGGGGTTGGTAGTCAACCAGAAATGGTCTGATCCCATTTACCACCCTGAAACCCCCGGCTCCTGACAAACTAATGCAGCAAATATGCAAATGCCGCACTGACTGTAGTGGGCATTGTGGATGCAGGCGCCCAGATTCTGCACCCAAGTTTGCATCAACTGTGCCGATTCCTGCACCAACGTGGACGAAATAACCGACCTCGATGAGCAAGAAGACGACCCTCCGTTTGATGCAGAGGCAGGTGGGATTTTAGAAGATAATTTATGCGTTATTTTAAAACACACAAACTCAATGACATTGCTTTCAGTTGAAAAACCGCCATCCCAGCCTGGACCATCACCGTCCATTGAAATCCCTACGCCTGAACTTTCCACACTCCCAGCCAAACGAAGGAGAGTCAAATAAAATGGACATTGCTATCAGGTATTTTTTTACATAGCATCTTCATACTATACTTCAACTTACTAGCTCTTCTTTCCAGCTGACTATATGGTCTTCATACGATTTTTCCTCAAATATATAATTTTATAAATCCTCGAGTCAGACTTGCAATAAAAGAAGGGGGAAAGAATTTTGGGTTGGAACATTTATGGATCCTTATTGAAGAAACCCAGGAAAGCTTGGTAAAAGATGAAAATTTATCAATAAATGTATTTACTCAGTGACTAGAAAAATACAAGAAATTATTAATAATAATGGAGATATGAGAAGATATTAATTATTTATTTCATCTTTTTACAATTATGATATGTATTTAAATTTCACACATTCATTTTAAATTTAAGTTACTCTTTTTACAATAATGCTGCACTAAATGTTTAATTTGTCCATTGCATTTTATTACTTTACAAAATTTGTTTGTATTATTAAATTTATTAATATTTTCATTGTGCTGGCAACGTTGTTCTAGAAATTATAATCTATAAAGTAGTTTTACATTGATACATTTTAAAGAATCAATTTAAACAGCTTGAAACACACGATTTCACGTTATAAGAGTGGTACCAGTTATATATGACATCATCGTTTACGTGAACGGCATGTCTTGTAGATTAGACTGCGCATGCCTGCGCTCGTACATGCATAGCTCATCTACTCAACTTTAGGATATAGCAAAATGTATCAATTTTTGTTTGTTTTTTTTTTTCATTTGTAATCATAACAATGGTTGGTCTTATCAAAAACGTCTATAGATTTGAAGTTCATGATATTCAAACATATTAAATTATCAAGCTCTGTCAGAGTGTATTAGGATTACAAATTTTACTGAACATTCTTGCAATTGTCAGTAACTTCAGATTAAAATTTTTATTCCATACCTAAAAAAAAATTAATGGCACTCTTCCTGACACACCCTGTATGCAATTTACAAAATAATATCATCACAAAAATGCATAACTTTTGCTATGTGACTAATGCAAATTAGTAATTCCCGGTAGCATTGATGTTATGTGCCAAAATTACGACACAAGAAGAAAACTGTGGCGCGACGCCACGATATCTATAAAACATCATTTGTAGAAATTGCTGTGGCTGTACAATTTTTATCTGAGTACGACATCGAGCGCTCAAAACATAACCTACATAGAACAATCCATAAATGTTTGAAAATTACATAAAACTGGGTCATGAGTTTTGTCCATTTGTTGCAAACAAGATATTAAATTCGATAAAACAAACTTTTGAGAATTTTATGAATGGCATAGTGTGGGTTTTTTTATAGCCGGGCACTTCGCGATTGTTGGATTGCACATTTAAGCTCCTTGAGAATTTTCGTAAACAAA